TTCTTGTAAATAGATTTTGCATTTATATTGTAAATACTCATTGGGGCTCGATTTTAGAATTGTTGTTTTATTTCCCTCCCACAGATAATGAATTGTAAATATGGGGACTAGTTAGTATTTTCATAGAGACATGAGGTATTATGGTGAATGTAGCAAGAAAGGTACGTATGAATGTGTTGTTTTGGTGTAAGGAATATAGTTTGTATTATTGGGTCAGTGTTTGTGGCTAGCTAAGTTATAGTTAAGACAGAACAAGACCGTCCTTTCCCCGATCCCTCCTTTGGCCATGTGCCACATTTCTGTGCACAGAATAAATATTGCTCTTCGTTATAGCAGCGGAACTTCATAAATTTAAGCGTAGTACAAGATAGGTCTAATTAATTTACAGTTCAATTGGCTCGATGTAACAGTAAGTTCTATGTCAACAGTTTCTTTTCTCGCACTTCCCGCTTGTGGAACTCTCTTTTGGCTCTAAGCGTTCCAGCTAAGTTTAGGCTTCAAAAATTTAAATGTAATATCAATCTTTATTTAATGTCTTCCTCATTACTCTTTTATTGTTTTCGCTTCTTAGTAATGTTTTCTGTTTTCACATTCGGTTACACCCAGTAACACCTTGTATCTTAGTGGCTTTATTACCTTGATTGGGGTAAATCCGATAAAAAAAAAATACTACCCTCACTTACCCTGACATAATAGAGCTGTATAACTCTGTCAGATATTGACTTCTTCGAAACTTTTCAGTCTTTAACCCAACGCCAAGTAAATCTTGATAAACCTGGGTTTAGTTAACACACACACACACACACACACACACACACACACACACACACACACACAAAAAAGAGAAAGAGAAAGCGAAAAAAATAAAGTCACAACTAAAGTAAGGCCCAATGGCGCTTCACCCTGCAGTAATGGCTAACGAGCTCATCTGTTTGACCATTTCTAGTGAATTCGATCCTAACTGAGAGCTCATAATTGTGACCTTGTGCCAAACTAAGTTAAGTTTAATAAAAAGCGTTACACTAAGTTTGGACAGCTAAGAGCGGGATAATGGTTATCGAACTAGTTCAGTCATCCAGACCAGTGAGTTCGATCCACCCTTGTGCCTGTGTGCCAAATTTAAACGGAGCTTAGTAGATGACAAGAACTTCCCTTTGTATGGTGTAATAATTAACAAGCTTAACAAAAATCTGGAACGCACTTCGTATATATCAAAATTAAGTAATTTATCGAGTCTAGTATATATATATATATATATATATATATATATATATATTGTGAATGCCAGTGTGTCACACTTTTTCGACTTTACTCTCAGCGGCCGTAGCTCAACATATCATACCATTTGGAATCACGCCCGACTCCGTGAGCAAATTAAAAACGTTACAGGCCGGACCTGGAGCCACAATCCTGAAAATTTGGATTCCCAATTTTTCATTATTGCGATTTTTTTCGGCCATTTTTTACGTGATTTTTTGCGATTAATTTTTTTGTATGATAACAATTTTTATAACTTGGAAATAAATTTGTGAATAATCGAAATTAATTGTGAAATCCAGCGAAAGCCACCCATGAAATAAAAATGATTCTTTGTACGAAAAGTAAGGACCTACGTACATCAAATTACCTTTAAATTTAGTGGCGGCAGAAGAATTATCGTTGCACTTGAAAAAGGTAAGCATAAATGTTAATGCAATACTTAACGATCAATTTTGAGTTCTTCTGAAGTTTATTGTTGCCAATCGTATCTACTCCTCGCTAGCTAATGTGATGAAGGCACAATCAAGGTTTTTCCGCAGGAGCTAGCTTAAATGCTAACGAATACATATATATATATATATATATATATATATATATATATATATATATATATATATATATATATATATATATATATATATATATACATATGTGTGTGTAATCTCTATCACAGATATTGAGCGCTTTCCACTAAGTAAGCAAATAGAAAATAATATATATATATATATATATATATGTGTGTGTGTGTGTGTGTGTGTATATTCAGAGATGAAAAGAGAGAAAAGGGTAGAATTAGGAAGAGAGTATAAAAGAGACAAGGAAAACGATGAAAAGGAGAAATAATCGTGATTCTCGACATGCGCGCATGCACGCATGCGCGAGAGCATGCGCGTGCACACTCGAGCATGTGCACACGCTTGCACGCAGACACACAAAATGAAAGAAGAAGAAAAATGTCGTCAACCTTACACCAACAAAAAGTGAATAAATTATCTTTTAACTTAATAAATAAACAGTCAATTGATTGTATCTCCAAACGATTGCTGGAGGGTTGGACTACGAAACTCTGGAGTCGAAATACTGAAAATACATCAATTAGCTAAGTGACAATTTTTATACTTGTAATAATCCTATATATATATATATATATATATATATGAAGTAAGTAATAGATGAAGGGAAAAACCCAAAACCAACCAATTTAATAAGCAATAGATTTTTTGTTGTCTTTCTAAATTGGTTGCCACCTATCGTCTAGTAGCCGAATCTGATCTACTATTTAACCCATATCTGTGAGAAGAAGAAATGTATTTATACCTTTTCATGGCTATTTACGCGAAAGTGAATTTAATGAATTCAACTGTAAATCGAAATC